CATGACCACATGAATTGAAAATGTGTTTCGGGCCCCGCGCATCGCGGGCAGCCCAGCATCAGCCATCAGTTTGGTTCGGGGTCTTTGGCCGTCTCTCTCTCTCTCTCTCTCTCTCTACTGGGGTCTGTAGAGGATTCTGGGGTCTCGTATTCTTGGGGTCTTTGGGTTCTGCGGGGGGGATTCGTTTTCGGAGGTCTTCGGGGCAGGGGCCCGGGGTCTGTATAGTTGGGGCGGGATCGAGGTCTGCGATTTCAGATCGGATTTCTTGGGCGCGCCACTCTATTGAGACCTTCTAGAGACCCGAACCAAACCGACGCCTGCGTCTCTGGCGGGGGGGATTCCGCCAGCGACTCGCGGCTCGATCCCGGCAGCAGCGGCAAGAGAAGGCAAGCGGGTGGAAGCTAAATCACAGGAATAAAGGCGGGAAGCAAAGGTTCTGGAGAGGAGCAGGCGGCGATGCTCGAGGATGATGGGGGCAGGGGTACAGGGAGGGACGAGGGTCAGAAGAGGGACGGGAAGTTGGAACAGGAGGAGGAGAGGGAGGAGGAGGAGGAGGAGGAGGAGGAGGAGGAGGAGGAGGAGGAGGAGGAGGGAGAGCAGGAGGAGGGAGAGCAGGAGGAGCAGGAGGAGGAGGAGGAGGAGGAGGAAGAGGGGATGAGGACGGAGAACAAGGTGGAAAATTGCAGGAGAGAGGTGAGGAGTGAGGAGCGGAAGAGGAGGAAGAGGTAGGAGAGGAAAAACAGGCGGAAAGAGCAGGAAAAAGGAGGGGAGAAATAGTTTTCTTTCCCTGAAAGTCTTTGTGAGATCAGAACCAAACGTGCCGCTCGCCCACCAGGCGTCACGGGTGACCCCAAGAGAAAAGGAGTCCACGGGACTCCCCCGTACTTCACACTTCAAACACAGGTCTGCTTCTCAGGGACCGCACACACAACGTCAACCGAGGCAGGATTTCGAGCAAGTCCAGCCGCGACGATCAGATGCCCCTGAGGGTCCTTGAGCAGCTTGCCTATGAGGGGTGGCACGCCAGCACATCCTGTCATAGCACCTGGTGCAATGCCACCCCGCAGGCCCATCGATCCACGAATGCCACGCCGCCCTGAGCCTGGAGGGGCCGTGCCTCGGGACGCGGGGAGGGCGGGGCCACCGGAGGTCATTCTTATACAGCGGTGGCACAGCAGCTGCTATCTTGACAAAGTTATTCGCCCTGTCAACGGCAAGGTTGACTGAAGACAAAAACGCGGGGTCAGCACCTTCGCGCTGCATCGACGTTTTCTTTGCATGATGGTCCACAATCGAATTCGCAACAGGAAATCCCTTCCATCCGACGGTGATGCATCCATGACTTCTTGGGTCCTGTAGGCATTCACGTGCCTGACTTCCTGGAGCCATTCCGCGCCTTCGAGGCTCTGCACAAAAAGACGAAGTCCTCCAAACTTGGACGAGGCTGCCAACTGCTGACTGACACTGCGCTGCATGATTTTGATTGCTGCCATGAAATCTGCTCCAAGCACGGGCGGTCTGTTTGCCACTTGGTCGCAAAGAGCAATCGCCGCATGCTCAGACATCGCCGGGGTCGGAGGAAAAGTGCCGTGGACTACGCCGCGCATCACAGCCACAGGCTCTGGCGCACCATCCCCTGTCGGGCAGCGCACCTATAGCCCGGGCCGCCCTCTGTAGTGGACGGATCGGAGGCTTGGAAATGGAGCCGTCAGATGCCAATCGGAGCACCTGATCACCGGAAAGATTCGCAATGACTTCAGGACACATGTTTAGTGGGTTGCCCAAGACATCCAACAGCTCAACCTCCGACGACGTACTTGGCTTGGGCGACTCACTATCAGGATCTTCGAGCGCCGCCTGGACATGCTCGGGCGTGGCACCCGATTCATTTATAGCTATCTGGACATCTCTGCGTGTGCATGTGTAGAGCCTGTGGTGGCGTGTGTCGACCTGTCCGCACTCGCACAAACCGTCCGTCGCGCAACCCGAACGACGACCCCGATCATTGGTCCACACCCCATTGCACCCACAAAATTCCACTGACAACTTGGCGTGTCTACCGAATCCCTTGGCTCTTGGCCCCAACCGATCCCGCGCGAGATCCCAGGTGGCCCTGTGCCCCGGGGGGTGGCCTAACTTCGCCGCGAACGGCATCTCATGCTGGCGTTGGATCCCGATATCAATCATGTCAGCCAGCAGAGACGGGGGAGTCTGATCTACCATCACGGTTAAACCGTTGTGATCGTTTCATTCAACGGGGCCTAACACTTCCCAGCCAGCCCGCTGGAGCACTAGTACCGCTCTACGAATCGGGCCGCGGGAGGAGCTCCAAGGACCACCCTGCAGAGGCTGGGCCGAGTCCCAGAGCCTAAGAAGCTCAACCCTACTGGCTAGTGCTCTCTCGGGCTGGGTGGAGGCTATGCAAGGCATTCTACACCTGTGGGTAGCAGGGGCAACCGCCAGCCGAGAACTCTTGCCCCCGAGAAGAACGAGTTTAGCTGCCAGAGAGACACCTTCATGGCGTGGGGCGTCCGAGCTGCAAATCATTCGCTGGTGGGAAGCCCACTCGGCCTGGCTCAGGCCTAGGACTTCAACCCCAGCGCGGCAAATCCTGGAAAAGGGGGCTTCTGTCCTGCCCTTGAACCGTTTCCGAAAAAAAACTTGGCTTTGCGGATTCTCACCTTCATTCCTGTGAAGCGCCTGGCCTGCTTCACTCTGGCTCCTACAGCACTGCGCCTGGCTCCAGCTGCCTCGTCGACGCCGAAGTAAGAGACGCCGTCCCTCAAGATCGAGTGCGGCCATCCTAGCATGTCGAGCGCAGCAGTGCCGATTTCCTTGGATGACGCCAGCAGACCAATCCTCTCGAAGTTGAGCACAGCTGACAGCTTCTCGGAAGTACGTTGAAATTCCGCCATCGCATTAACTGCAGCCTTGATCGCCATCTCCACATCATTCGAGCCAGTACGTATCGCAGCATCGTCGATGTAGCTCAGGAGAGCAACCGCTGGGCATCTTGATATGTACTCGTCGAGCTCAACGTGTGCATGAACGTTGGTGGCCAAATCGTTGTAGACATCCCCTAGCGGGCTAACTTGAGCAAGCACACCAAGCTTGAGAAACTTCACTCTTAATGTATCCAGTGGTATGGATTCATAGAATTTTGACCAATCGATAACCCTCATGAGATGGTGTCGCTGCCGTGCTCGATCGCTTTCAGCACGAGCAGCTTGAAGCCAAGCACCGTCTAGGGCAGAGCGGCCTTTCGCCGCTCCCCTGTATCTTCTCGAAAGCTGCTGACTGATACCTGATACCATCCATCGGCGGGCTCTCTGCCATATGCGATAAATACCAGCATAGAGAATCATGACTGTTTCCACATGATGGTTTGCCTACCATCGGCATCTGAATCCAGCACAACTATTTGGGAAGTAGTGCCTCCGAACACTGCCATATGAGACTGAGCACCTCCAACCCTGGCCGACGTGCCCGCAGAGAACGTCTTGGCGATCGTTCTGATCATGTCAGGCTCGAGGACAGGGCAAGTGGTACGATCTGGCACCCATGCGTATGGTGTTTCACTGCTTGCCTTCCATAGCTTCTTGTACATTTCAACTTCCTCTTCGACTATGGCAATGGGGCTCCCAGAAACAACAGGCCTTTGGCACTGGGCTGGCTCTGGAATTGCCTTGACCTTGGTGAGCCGGTGCAGCGCACGAGCTCCTCGAGATACGGATTCAGCACACCAATCACTCCATCACCGAAGGAGGAGGAAGGAGGAGGAAGGAGGAGGAGGAAGAGGAAGACGAGGAGGTGGCGGTGGAGGAGGCGAAGGGATAGGGGGAGGGGGGGAAGGCTTAGGATGAGGCGCGTTCACAGGCGGGTAGGGTTAGGTCGGGCATGTCCTCCTGCAGGCAGATTTTTGGAAGAGCAATAGAAAATAGTCGAAGCATAACCAAACGTAGTCAAAAATACAGGAAAACTCGTCACCAGACTATTTGTTACTATTCCCGAACATTCCTCCTGTAGAGGGGCATGCATGCCCGAATTAAGGGTAGGGGGAAGGGGGGAGGCTTCTGAGGAGGAGGCTGCTTCTTAGAAGGCGACGGCCTTACATTTACAGATGCGAATTACAGGCCCGCGCCTTCTAAGAATCAGCCTCCTCCTAAGATGCCTTTCCCCTTCTCCCCAACGTCAGAAGGTCTTGAATGATGGGGGGCCCTCCACCCCCCTCAGCTCTCGGCTGGGAACAGTCGTCCCTCCCCTCCTCGCCCTTCCCCTCCTCGCCCTCCTCCTCCTCGCTCTCCCTCCTCTCCTCCTCGTGGTCCCGTCCTCGCCCTCCCCATCGTCGCCCCCCTCCCCGTCCTTCCCCTCCTCTCGCCCGCATTCTCATATGCTCCCCTCCTCGCCCTCCCTCCCCCTCGCTCTCGACGAGGCGCAGCCGTTGAAAACCAACCCGAAGCTGGAACACCACCCGGAACGGCCGATCCGATTTGGGCCCGACCTGGGCCCAACGCACACACACACACACACACACAACACACACACAACACACACACACACACACAACACACACACACAACACACACACACACGCACACACACACAACACACACACAACACACACACACAACACACACAACACACACACACACACACACGCACACACACAACACACACACAACACACAACACACAACACACAACACACAACACACAACACACAACACACAACACACAACACACAACACACAACACACAACACACAACACACACAACACACACACACACACACAACACACACACATACATACACACATATCGTCGGAGATCTGGGCAAACTGCTCTCATGAGCAGAGGCCTCCCAGCTAGCAACGTCGGCGACGCATCGGCGACGTCGGCGTGGGAGAAAGTCGGGCTCCACATCGAGCCGCATCGGCGATGCATCGGCGATGCGGCGCGATCCTCCGACCCCACCTCATCATCGGACCCGATCCGGCAGGCCTGGAAGGACGGCCGCCTCCCGGGTCGGGGCCGTGCGGCGGGGACCGGCTGGCCGCCGGCGGCGCCCCTGCCTCCGCAGGGCCCGCCGCGCAGCCCAGCCCGGTGGGGCCGCCAGGCTGCCGCGAGCGCGGCGGCCCGTCCTCGGAGGCCCCCCAGAGAAGGTCCGAGGACGGCCGGCAACTGCTGCTCCGCGCGTCGCCGCGGCGGCCCCAGCGCCACGCTGTGCCCTGCGAGCGGGTAGCGTGCAGCTCCACTCCGCGGGGCGGGAGGCCGGGACGCGCTCGGGACGTCGGCGCCTCGGGACCAGGAAGTGGATGGAGAGTCGCGCCGGAGCGCGGTGGGCCAGAACCAGCAGAGCGGCGCGTTGTCCAACAGTTCCCAGGCGCAGATGGGGTCGGAGGATCGCGCTGCATCGCCGATGCATCACCGATGCATCGGCGACGTCGGCGGTGCATCGGCGACACACCCAGCCGCATCGCGGATGCATCGGCGATGCGGTGCGAGCCCCCGACCCCATCTACTGGGACCCCGTTTGGGAGGCATGGAGTCCTGGCCCTCGAGCAGCCGCTCGATGTCCCCGACCATGCGTCTGTGGTGCTGGTCGGGCGTCGCTTATAATGGGGGGCAGTCCCTGCGACTCTGGCGCGCAATTCTTGAGTCGGGCGCTTTCGTATGGTTTCGGGCCCCCGGACCCTCACATATTTACCAGGCTCGAAAAATGCAGCAAAAAGTTAGGGTCTAGGGCTCTGGTTGTGAGATTTGCCGATGTTGCAATGTTGCTCGCAACGTCGGATCTCAGGATCTAACCCTCCTATCGAAGCGTTGCCACGAGTGTCGTGAGGCCGATTTGTCGTCGTGTTCGGCTTCTGGGGGCCAGTTTGTGGCCTCGGAGCCGTCAAAAAACAGCTCGGGATGAGAATCTGGCCCCGGGGGAAGCGGTCGAAACCCTGAGAGCGACGTCACAAGCATTGCACAAGGTCTTACGACATGGAACGCTTGGTGCCCCGGAGGCCAGCTTCGGGAAGACGCAAGACTCGGGTTCGGGGGACCCAGGTTGGCCCGACGGCGCCGTCATGGAAAACGTCGAGATCTGGTCTGAAATTTGACTCGAGCTCTCGCTGCAGACATCCGACGAAAGCTGGACCGTCAAAATCCAGGACAAGCTCGTCAAAAAGCGTCGGCAAACTCGAGTTCCAGCGCACTCGAGTTCCAGCGCACGCGAGTCTTACATTTCCCTGACAGTAATCGGGCCCCTGGGGCAGAAAACCTGCCCCTGGGGAATGGGTAGGACTGGGGCCGCGCGTGGGAACGGGGGTGAGGGTCGAGGAAAAGCGCACCTCGTGCACCTTCGGGTCCCATTCTCTGGGCCCTGGGGATCCGTCACAAAAAATATGCACAGACACCCTCCACTGGATTATTCCTGGACCTCAGGGGAGGGTGGCGGTATAAATCTCCACTGAGTGCCAGCGATGTTATACACAGGAAGGTGCATGTAAAATTCGTCGGAGGCTGTCTGTGTCTGCGTTATATATATATACATATATATATATATATATATATATTATACAAATATATAGACATATGTGTATACACATGTGTATGTTTACATACAAATATGTATACATATTATCGTGGCGTGCGGGAAGGGCCTCTTTCCCGCAGCCCTCGATCCCTCCTCGTTTGTCGCCCTCGAATCCACCCCCAATCCGAGATGTCCCCAGACCCCCCACGGCATGATTTGTTCTGGACGTCGACCCCCCGAGGTCTGGACCCATTTCGGCGGCGAGCGAGGAGAGGAAATGAGAAGGAGAAGGCCCTCTCAGGAGGCGGCGGGACTTCTCAGAGGCCCTCGCGCACCCTGAGAAGTGCTCTGCGTCTCCGGGGAAGGCCGAGGAACCTTCTCAGAGGGCTCTGAGCCTTCTGAGAAGGCCCGCCCCTTCTCACTTCCCCCCCCCCCCCCGGGCTCGCCGCCGACCGCTCCCCGGGACCAGCTCTTCATCCTGGGTCGTTCTCGTACGGTCCCGACGCCTGGCAAGGGCCCTCCGAAGCTGGAAGCCGCGAAAGACCTTCCGCGTCATGACCAGAGGAACCTGGGTCCGACGATCCGAGCTTTTTCGATGCGCGGACCCCGAGCTCCCGCCCCCTCCCGGGGCAATGCTGGGCGCCCCAGCTCTGCTCCTGGCGGCCCTGGCCCTCGCCGGTAGGCCCCAGGAGGCCCACTTGAAGGACCATCGAGGGGCAAAAACCGTATCGTTGAAGGTACGGGTTTGACCTAAACAGTGTTGTTCGTTTCCGCTTAATGTTCGGTTTCCCTAGTTTGTTTTCAATCCGCCTTTACCGAAAACTGAGATCGAAGAGAAAACGGCACACGAAATCGTCAACATCGGTTAGGGCCACCCCTGTCGTTGAAGATACGGGTTTGACCTTATCTTTCCATTACTTGACATACAGTCGGCCCGTATCAGAAGGATGCGCAATAAGGATGCAAGGGCCTTGGAAAGCCATCTCGAAGCTTTCCGAACGGGGCGGGGCCAACGAAAGGGGCCAAGGATGGACCGAGGAGGCAAGGATGCAAGGGAACCCTGTGGAAGGTTGCCCATCCTTACCATGCGGGTTGACTGTAACGCCCGTGACCGGCCCCCAATCCTCCCCCCCACATTCCCCGCCCAGTCACGTCACGATTCGCGCTTGCGCCATGTGGGAACTTACCTTTCCAAAGTACTCCCAGGCGGCGCCAGCGCGAATCGTGACGTGACCAGCCCCCTCCCCCCTCATCCCCGGTCACGCCCGCTATCGCCGGGGGATGCGAAGACTGCACCTTGTCGCCCCCATTACGAAACGCCCGAGCTCGTCCATCATGGCGCCGATCCTGGAGGAACAGAAGAGCACAGAGTCACCTAAACTCTCGGAAGTCCGCGCGGACCTCGCGGATCGGCGCTGGACCCCCCTCCCTCTCCGGCGCGCGGAGCACGCCAGGGGCGCGCCGGAGGCGCCCCCCAGCGGGGCCCAGCGCAGATGCAAGAGGTCCGCGCGGAACTCCGACGATCCAATTCTGTTCATCGGCGGTAGACAAACCTCCCTTTAGTGGACCTCCCCTTGGTGAAAACGGCCCGGGACCGAAACCGACGGACCCGGGCCCGCAAAAACGACGGCCGCGACGCCCTCTCGCGAACCGAAAACGGCCAATTCCTCAATCGACGCATCAGGGTAGGAGGTCTATCCACCTCCGATTTCCTGTTCTTCGGGATCCGGGTCAGCAGCCCGTCGTACGCCTCGGGGCTGCCGCCGTCGGGGCTCTTGGGCACACGGGGCACATCCACGGCCATGGCCCGCGCGCGCGGGGCGCGTCGGGGCCTCCAACGAGTGGGCGAGAGCGCTCTTGAGCCAAAGCGGCTACGGACACACGGGGGGAGGAGGAGGAGGAGGAGGAGGAGGAGGAGGAGGAGGAGGAGGAGGAGGAGGAAGAGGAGGAGGAAGAGGAGGAGGAGGAGGAGGAGGAGGAGGAGGAGGAGGAGGAGGAGGAGGACCCCCGCACGCTGCGCAAACGATCAGTCGTCTCAGGGCGAACGCGCGGCGCGCGCCCGCGGCGGCCCAAGTGTGACAGGCTTACGCGGGCGGGCCGTGCGACGCTCTCAGGCGGCCTCGTCCAACGAGGGCGCCCGGGCGGCTAAAAGGAGGCCGCAGCAGCCGTACCCAGGCTCAAAGCACTCGCGAAGTGTCAAGAGATGTCAAGAGTTTGGCGGGCGGCCGCGACTTGAGTGGACCAGCCAGTGGGGCCAGCATCCACAAACGAAGCGACAAGGATGTCGCTAGCGTCAGCGAAGTAGGTGACACGGCCCCTGGCGGATTCAGAAAGAGCGGCAAGCACGCTAGAAGCGGCAGCACTCAGCAGGTAGCGCTCCGCTCTGGAAGCTTGTCGCAAGCGACTGCGCGTGAAGACGCGCAGGACGTCGGTGGCGAAGCAGGTTGCGCCTGAGCTCGGCAGACTGGCGAGGGTCATGTTAAGCCCCGCTGGCGCCTTGGCGAGCGGCACGCCCAACGCCGAAAGAAGATGGTCCCACCGAGTGAGGAAGCCGATTGGACCGAAGGTCGATAGTTATAGCGGATCGGTGGGGCAAAGGTGCTGAAAGACCACCTCCAATATCCTAACCACCGCTCTATCCGAGCACATGGCGGACTGCGTCGGATAGGACATGCAAATCCAGACCGGGGATTGACAGAGCCGCTTCTCCTGTAGAGTCAAGGCGGTCGCTCGGTAGGGAGAGAGATCACAGCGGCCCGCGCTGAGCAGGCCGCCTGGCTTCAGACACATGGTGAACCCTGCGAGAAGGAGGGCGGCCATGGCGGGCCAGTCCCATAGGAGGCACATCGCCACCATAGCGCGCAGCAGCGCTCGAGGCACCGGGGGCGAAAGGCTGGCAAGTGACTGCAACAGCTTCCATTACCTAGCCAGTTCCCACGCTTCGGTGAGCGAAGCCCTCCAGTGAGGGCGGTGCGCTTGGACACCTAGGATCGCATGCACAAACAGGTAGCGTGGAAGACCTGCATCATGCAACCACACTCCGAAGGTCGTGAGCACCCTCGCGAGCAGGGCGCCGCCACAATACCACAGCAGGGCGGCTGACGCCGGAGCCAAATGCCCCGCGCACCACACCTCGAGCGCGATGAGCGAACGACGACACCTTCTCGTCGCAGGCCTGCGTGGGGTGGCAATGGCCATCCAACGCCTCGCCAGTGCTCGGAGCGGATGCCAACTGGGGGGCAGCGGACCTCCTGACACCCTCGGCACTGCGAGAGCGGGCGACGCGCCAGACAGCCTTCCGGTGGTCGACCCCCGCCAGGAGCGTCTGCACTCGCTCGACCAGCTCGCCCGCGCTCGCAGCCCCGGCCTCCGCGCCTCGCACCTCTCGCCCCTCCTCGGCCTCGGTGAGAGCGGCATCGAACAGCGCCGAGCGAGGCGCGGCACTGCGTCGGAGCGCGCCGTTCGCCACGAACGCGCCGCGCAGCCGCGGCCGCTCGGCCGACGACCCGGCCGGTGCGCACCGCGCGAGCGGGGGACGCGCCGAGCCCAGGATCGAAGCCAGGCCTACGGGGTGCGGCAGACATCCCAGGAGCACCGGCAACTCCGTGCTGCTCCCGATCGACAAGGGCTCGGCGCTCCAGGCCGGGGGCCTGCGACACGTCGCTGCCCGCTGCGCTGCGGCCCCACGGCAGCGCGGTTCCGTGCGGCGCCGCCTCGGAGGCGGCCGCACTGGCAGCCCGCCCACGAGCAGCGCGCAGCATGACCGCTGCGCCCAGCGAGCGCCTGGCCAGCGAGGCGGGCGCAGAACTGGCGCGTTGCGCGACGCTGCGGGCGTCGGCGCGGCGCCCTGGCAAGGGCGGCAGGGCGCCCCCAACGCGAGCTCCAGATCCAGCCCCAGCTCCAGATCCGGTTCCAGCTTCAGCTCCAGCCCCAGCTCCAGCAGCCCCAGCTCCAGCCCCACCTTCAGCTCAATGTTCGTTCCAGCTCTAGCTCCAACCCCAGCTTCAGCTTCGCTCCAGCTCGAGTCCCAGCTGCTCACAGCTCCAGGTCCTGTCCCAACTTC